CTAATATAATTTGACTCCAATAGAATTACTAAAATCCTAACTTAACTAAAATTTACTAAATAATAATATAAAATATTTATAATTTGAGTCTTGATTTAATATGCCAACAAAATGTAGTAATAATTATGCTAACCGATTTAAATTGGATAGATTTCAACTTGTGGACCTTGAATCCTGATCCCTCATGCACCCCTCAGATAAAAATTAATTCTAGAGAGGAGGAGAAGAAAAAGAAAAAAAAAAAAGGTTAAAATGAATCGGGTAAGGTCGAAAGATTTACATTGGCTTTCTGTCATATTTGTGGTCCTCCTGTCCTTGGAGGTCCCAGCCTCTTCTTCATGGGTTTCTGGGTCTTGCTTTTCCCAAGCATGAGGCCAACATAGAAAACAAAGCAGATGTCTTTACGTAGCCATGAAAAAAGGGCAAAAGCAACCACATGCCAAAAGGTATGCTCTTTTTATTGAGTGATCACAGCCAAAAGCCACTTTCTTTCGCCAGGAACTTGCTTATAAGAGATTATTTCTAAACTGTCTTTATCTGGATCACCCACTGATATCATAATATATAAAAACATTAAAGTGCTAAAATACAGATGCCATCAAGAAACCCAATTCCTAATTGGTTAACTATAATTATATCTGATTAATGAGATGTAATGATACCTAAACATGTCTTTGAACATCATTGTGCTTCTACATCGAGGGATAGTCAGTCTTGTCCAATTCCATGATTAGTGCAACATGCATTTGTGAGTATGTTAGTGCACTAAAGGAAGGCAAGAGGGAAAATGAGCAGAAAACCAATAGAATACACAGCTAGCTGTAAGATAACCAGTTATAATTGAATAAACCATTTTCCTGATTTCTTATTGCAGAACACAGTCTCTGTCAATGTACACACACACACACACACACACACACACACATATATATATATATATATATATAGATGCTTTGAGCACCAAAATTACAGCTTAAAAATCTACACACTATGGCGTGGCATTGTCACGAGGACATCATATTCACTTACTGCACATCAACAGAAATCTTGATGGGTGTAATTTGATCAACTGGCACTTACCACACAAGTGCACAACAAGTTATAAAGCACGAAACCAGTGAGGGGAAAGAAGAAAGCATGAAGAGCCATGCCACTACAAAGAATTGGACCACAACCATAACCTTTCAAGAGAACCCTACAGTTATGATCAACCAAAAGTTCTAGATGGAGAAAAGAAAAAGAAAAAGAAAAATTAAGGCCGGTGTGCATGCATTTATGCTTCCTACTTTTGTCTATTATCAATTAATTACACGTTCAAAATATCCAACACAATAAGCACCTTCAAGAGGGTTGCTTTGAAGAAAATTATAAATAACTAGAACATTTGGAGGTCGATCTTCAAAGAAAGAGTAGAGAACAGAATCCAATATATTAACTGGAGAAAATGGTAAATGAGACGAGAAGAACACATGGGCAGAGCAAAGCTTCAAACATAACGTACAGACCTGTCACTGTCTGTTAGTATCTTGATATTTTCTTTGCCGCTGTCCAAGAAAGAATGGTCCATGTATCTTGTTAAATGAACGTCTTCCTACAATTTGCAATCAACTACTAGTTTTGTTAAAAATTGTGGAACCTAGTCTTCATTGTAGGAACACCAGCACCACACCAGATTGATGTGCGAAGCTTGTAAACAATGAGGCAATGTATAGAAGTGGGGAAAGGAGTAATTGCTGTGAAGATGCAGATAGCAATGAAGTAGCATTCTTCATGTATTGGTCTTCTATTTTGCGGAGAAGAAGGTGTAACACTGAGGAACACCATTTCTTTCTGCTCTTGTTTGATAAACTAGGGAATCAATAATCCAGACATGATGTGAAGAATTATATTGAAATAAGCCTAATAAGCATCAGCAAATCCAAACATGGGGCAATGACATTAAAAGCATATATGACATTCATTTTGGTATTCAATCAGAAAAACAAAATTTATGGACAAGTCCAACCACGTAAATGGTAATTGTGGAATGTTTAGCTTTGGGAAGGGACATGAATCATCACATAAGAATTTTCCGCACACGTTTCTTTGACATGGAATGAAAGAGGTGTTGCGTACAGATGTTTGCCTGATTTCAGCACAGGATGGAGATCAAGGTCATGGAACTTGGAGCAGGCCGAGATGATTGGTGGTCCATTTAACAAGATTAAAGTCTCATCTTGATTGTACACAGATAACGGGAAAGAAGGGTTGAAGAGCTTTATTCACAAATCCAAGGCTCCACAAATCGAAAGCCCGCATAAAGGGTGATGCCAATCCTTTGCCACCCGTGATGTTTTCAGAGTAAAACTCTGCCCATATCTTGATCGATGGGTACAACAAGTCAACCAGCCATGTAAGATTTAAGTCTTCGTACTAGCACTGTGTTCTTCTTCTACTTCATGGTTATTAATTGTATTTCTTTCCTTTTGATCACTAATGTCCAGCGAGCCTCCCTAACAGAAGTTCCCATAAGGAAACAGAGTGAAAGCGCCCTGGAGAATTAAATGATTGTCGGGTTTAAGTCCAGAAAAATTAAAGCTCCCGTCTCACCCTTCCTTCAGGGGACCAAACAATGCTAAAGATAAGACCCAGGGTGGAACTAGCAAGCAGTATCATTCAGTATATGAGAATGGTAAGTCCTGGAAGGTTGCGTAAGGCTATTTCAATCAGAAGCTAGACATCGAGAGAAAGAGAAGAAAGAAGTTTCCTTCTCTAATCTACTTGGACAAGATCGTGCGTCCTTATTCTAATCAAAACCAGGCCTACCTGGAAAATCAAGCAAAAAGGACCCCGAAACTGAGCAGACACCATGGCACTAAAAAGATCAAGTGATACCCCGGAACTGAATTAAGAAAACGTGATCAAAGTTCCCAAACCTGTCGAACTTGATGCCAGGCATCAAGAGAAAGTTAAAGCTGAAACTGCAACAAAAACATAATCAGCAGCTTAGTTCGATATCCCTATTCCCTTCTGTGGGAGCGTATGCAAATAAAACCAAATTCAATTAATTCCCTTCCTGTCTCCTTCTCCATCAGGACCACGTCCTCAAGCAAGTTGGTGCCTTGTAGCTTTTTGTGTTTGATCAATTCGACAATTATGAGGCCTACATTATACTCAAAAGACAAGCAAAATCGGTGTCTTTTTATTGATCCAAATTGGAATATAATAAGTTCCATTTTTCTGTTCTCACCATTTTTTCAGTTGTCTTGACATGAAATGTCGAAAATGCAGCATACAACCCCCTCGGGCCACCTAGAAGTACATGCCAAATGGAGATCAGCAGACCCAAGAAACTATGCAGTGGCTAACTGGCTAATTACCAAGTACAACCAGCATCTCATAGTAATTGCTAGGTTAAGAGTAAATAGCTTAGGTTCAATGATTTGATCAACGATATGTAGTTGCCAAGAACTTTCGGCCAGCCAAAACCACCTCTTTTTTTTTTTTCCTTCCTTCTTGAGAGTGTCGCACTTTCCATTCGAGATATCCCAATTTTTTTGTATTATTAGCCAAAAGACAAAAATATGTTTTATCCCCTTCTCTAAGCACAAGAGAAATCATGATCTCCATAATTAAGGTTGGATGACAAAAATTGCAAACGTACGTGAGCTACTCTAAACTGCAAATTTTGCCGTTAATCGCTTAGCTAATGCCGGAAAAGAGAGCCCGTTTGCCAATTAAGACATTTGCACTAGCATCATGTTATATAAAAGAGTTAATAAACAGCCCATCTTGGATAAATCCTAGTACAAAGCCTATACTAAGCCACATAAGTACTAAGAAGAATGTTGAAAGCCCATCTTAAGTCTATTATTTTGGAATATTATTATTTTCAGTCTTTTTTTTTTTTTTTATAGGTGCACTCTATAATAAAAAGTTGGAGAACAGAATAAAGCGTATTCCTTCCGGAAATGAGGACATAGTGGCAAAGAAGATCAATATTTTAACAAGTGAGCATACAATAAAATTGCACGATCAGAGGAAGTTGTGCGAAATATGATGATCACGACACTTAATTCCTCTTAAGGAAAGGGATCATTGATCAAACCCTCGCCTGCAAGAAAGAATCAAATCATGCGGTGGATCTATTTATTGGACAGAATGTAGATTATTCGCCGTCAGACGGCGGGAAATTAATTCATTGAATTTTCAGTATTTTTTGGGTCTCTCTAGAGAGACTCCAGGCCTTGAAACAAAAGCCGAGGGGTTGACAAATGGGTGGGCTTTGGACATGGCAATTGTGTTATTAATGCAGTGTTAAGTTTTTGTTTTCTGTCTTTCATCGGTCTTCCATTATGATTTCGATTAACTTTTTATACATTAATATTTACACTAACAGTTATGATGCATGTCGAATGATTTGAATTTTAAATTTGAATTCATATTATGCACCAATTATCGAAATCCACAAGTAAACAACGGTGTATGAAAAACTTATCCAAATAAAATAACCATTCTGGGAAATAGCAAAGTGAATACAGTACAAATGAATATGATTTGTGGATTCTTATTTCTGGAGCGGTCCAAGTACAGAATTCAAGCACTGTGTATTTCTCCACCATTAGTTGTGCGAATCTTTCAAATATCCGGATCACCATGGCGGCATTGGGTTGTTGCACGTATTCTGAATTTGGGTCATCGTTGAATTGTTTGGCGGATCATTTGTTGCACCTATTCTGGATATGGATATGTGTGAAGTAGTCGATAAATGCAATTTTTGAATCGAAAGGAATCACTCTTTGCAAAGCTGGAATTAAACATAAGTCGACAAACCTGGATTTGGGTCATTGATCTGTCCGCCAAATCAGAGCTACACGTAAGTCGGCAAAACTGGCAGATACGAAATTTGGACAATGAAGAAGATTGGCATTGATTGATTAAACCCTATGGCGGACTATATATACTGAACATCTCAACAGAATGAATCATCCCCCTGATCATTGATATACAGAACTCAAAAGATGGAGAAGCTACAACTTAGCTTGAAACTCCTGTTTTTGGTACTTTCTCTTCTGTGCCATGATGGTAAAGCTTCTATATCATCAATTGGTGGGCTCAAAATGGAGGAATTGTTGCAAGAAGAGCCCTCTCAGAACTTCGCTTCCCCGAAATTTGGATCAGATACGTCTTTCAGCCTTTCATCAGCGTATCTTTACTCCCAAAGCGGGCGCAAAGAAAATGACAAGATTCAAAGGCTGCCTGGACAGCCTGACGGAGTAGACTTCAACCAATATTCAGGATATGTTACTGTTGATCCCAATTCAGGACGAGCTTTGTTTTACTATTTTGTCGAATCACCAAGAAACTCTTCATCTAATCCACTTGTCCTGTGGCTCAATGGAGGTACTGTTGCTAAATGTTGCCAGTTTAACTTTGTTTCTTACGAAATTTAATTAGTTTATCAAGTGCTAGGCATTCCAAGCTCTTTGCAGGTCCCGGTTGTTCTTCTCTTGGAGCCGGAGCATTGACGGAACTTGGGCCATTTAGAGTTGAAAAAGGTGGCAAGATTCTCTACAGAAATCAATATGCATGGAATGCAGGTCATTGGATTCTAGATTATTTTCAGTCTTCCCTCCATGTATAATATGATAATACACATAACAGAGATGAAGAATCTAACCAAAGTTGGACTTTAATTCTTTCTCAGATGCCAATATCATATTCTTGGAGTCTCCAGCTGGTGTTGGATTTTCATATACAAATACAACATCAGATTATGATTTCACTGGGGACGAAAGAACTGCAGTTGATACGTATACGTTTCTAGTCAATTGGCTTGAGAGGTTCCCCGAGTACAAGACTAGGGACTTTTTTATTGCAGGAGAAAGCTATGCTGGCCATTATGTACCTCAGCTAGCTCAAGTGATACTACATGCAAACACTAATACGAACCATACTAAAATCAATCTAAAAGGAATCGCTGTAAGTGATAAAGTTAAAATTGACATGCCTGTTAGTTTTTCTTTTTTATTTTTTCAGCAGAGATGGGTGAGATTTAAGAAGTAAGAAGGACACAGGAGATTAGAATCCAAAATCACTAAATTCTGGAGTTTCAATCTTCACCGTTAGACTAATGCTTCATTGGCACATGCCTATTAGTTGAAAGGATTGAAGTTGCATACTAAAATTTAATATGGATAAATCATAATTTCAGGTTGGCAATGGGTTGATTGACTACGAATCCTACAGTAGGGGATGGTTAGACTATTATTGGACTCATGCCCTTATATCAGACGAAATGTATATTGGACATGAATCCAACTGCAATTTCTCGTCTCCTGCTCCTCCATCTGATATATGTCGCCAATATCAAGACCAAGTCACAAATGCCACTAAGGACATATACTCTTACGACATTTTTGCGCCCTTGTGCAATTCCACCTCTTCATCCACTCTGGCAAGTATTTATCAATTCTTTATCTTTTCTAAATGTGCAAACGTTGTTGATCAAATCTATGGTTTCTTATTTCCCTTCTATTTTTTTTCCTGATAATTGCCTTGAAATAATATTGACAGATCTCAGTCTTTGATCCCTGCTCGCTGGATTATGCTTTCGACTACTTAAACAACCCCGCAGTTCAGATTGCTCTTCATGTGGATGCTGCCACTTTTCCTTATCCCTGGGAACTGTGCAAGTATATCACTGTTACTCTTGAAGAAGAAATGGTCATAAATTGTGCTTTTTAAGTTTTAAAGGTTTGAGCCACCAAGAATATTCACCAATGTTCTTCTTTTTTGGGCTGTGGAAATAGTCTTACCATGAATGGTAGCTGGAAAGACCGACGTTTGCCTATACTACCAATTATCACTGAGTTGATGGAATCTGGAATTCCAGTTTGGATTTACAGGCAAGTCATTAGAGATAAACAATGGCCAATCTTTAGACTGAATTTCGTCAAATAAACTCTGAAAATTGAAAAGAAAGAGTCCTGTCAACGAAACGAAAACCAAATTCTCCTACAATTCAACATCTTCAAATATTGTATAATTTAACAGGATTTAAGCATTAAATAAGACTGAATCTGAATAAAGAAAATGTTAGAAGTGAACTTAACAAAGTCAGATGATTAATTTGCAGTGGTGACACGGATGGTGCAGTGCCAGTAACGTCCTCAAGGTATGCCATCAATAAACTTGGGATATCTGTGAAAACTCCCTGGTATCCTTGGTACCTCCAGAATGAGGTAAGTGTCATATATTTCTTTTTTGATCGGCTTATTTGTTGTATAACGTATTATTTTAGAATGAGAGCCTTAAACACTTGAACATTACACGCAAACAATATCTCTGGAGTTTGTTAGTCCAATGAAGTGGCAAAAATGAACTTTTACAAGTAAAACTTGTTTCAAGAACTTACTTTGCCTAATTATTCAAGCATGTGTTAAACAAAAAAAAAAAAAGCAAGCTCTTCATTATAATGGATTGTAGTAAGATGAATTATCTAGAGCTTCCTTTATATTTTGTGTGGAATAGAAGACTTAGTGGTATAAAAATTTTTGAGAAGTTTCATCTATTAAATTATGCTTTACATTTCGCATGATACTTGCCCATCAAGAATTATGGACTTGTCTGAGATATCAATGCTGGGTTTGCAGGTTGGCGGATATGTGGTTGAGTATGAAAACTTGATGTTCGTTACCATAAGAGGATCTGGACATTTTGTTCCTAGTTACCAGCCAGCAAGAGCCCTTGCACTCTTCTCTTCATTCATAAACCAAAAACTTCTCCCATCCAAATAGACTGAAAAAAGGGGATGCTTTAGGATGACCGAAAGAAAATGCGGATAACACATATATGTTCTTGGCATATATGTCAAACTACTCGTCTGGCCTTCTTATTCATTAGCCAAAAAAATTAGTATGAGACCTGACAAATTAAATTTTGTTCGACTGTCTTGTTAGTTGAATGCAAAATCTGTGATCCAAATTACTACTATTTCGTGTTTAAATGAAAAGAGCACATGTCTCGACACCATCTTAAGATGATAATTCTAAGTACAGTATTCATGTGTTTTGCATTTTCAAATGAAAAAATTGCCCAAAACATCCCTTGCATTTTGTTAAATGAATTTCTTGGTCATTTACTTTTAAAATATTAACTTTATGTCCCTTACAAATTCAAATTTAAGTTAGTAAAACTTGGTCCCAATTTAACTACTTTTGAATCTTAAATTACCAAGTGACTCGCATGCAATCATTTTTTATATACATCAAGTCAAATTCCATATCTTTAGTGGCAAAAATGAATATAAATTGGGTCATATTCCAATTTTTTAGGGAAAGAATGCACATAATTTGGGTCAGATTATACCTTTTTAGAAACAAATAAAATGAATATAGATCGGATCATTTGTATAACTACAAATAGGATCTAACTTTTTTATCGAAATGGTCGAAAACACAAGTTGGGACTAAATATTATCGACTTGAATTCGTAATAGATATAAAATTAGCATTTTAAAAGTGAATGACGAAAAAATTCATTTGATGAAATGTGAATGATGTTTTGAACGATTTTTTTTTTTCAAATATATTGCAACAACTTTAGATACAAAAAAAACGAGTATTTGTGGTGATTATGGGGCAATTGCATGAATTTTCAAGAAATAAGTTGATTATAATGGTAATAGTTTTACAACAAAGGAGTTCTTTAAGCGTGAAATTGAGAAATGGGGTGGAATGGGTTGAGTGGTTCGAGAGGAGAATATGTAGGTGAGATGCATTTGATTCGAGTCCTCCCATTCACAATAAAAAAGTGTCTGGAGTTGAAAATGAGAAAATTAAAATGGAAAGAAAAAGAAAGGAATATGCTCAATAGGAAAAGCTGTGGAAGTGATCATGTGGAATAAATACACATTTTGTGTGTTTTAATCTCCATTAGTACACATTTTATTGGACAAAATTGAGTTATCACAACTTGTAAAACTTTGTTCATATGGTTTTCCACTTGTGTATGCATGGTTTCTTATCCTGGCCAACGATCCCTGAGGTCACAAAAGAATCGAAAACCTCCGACACGTTAGAGACCTTTGGTATGCATAAAACGATCATATATAATCCCTTGTCCTGTTGTCATTGCTCCGAATCAAATCAAACTAAAAAATCGTACGCTAGACAAGTATAGACTCCATAAGTTACAAGCACAGCAGAATTGCATGCACATTCTATAAAATTGTATTTTCTCGACGTGTTTTTTCCTAAATTGAAATTGCTAAAAACACCTAATGAAGATCCAGATGGAGACCGCCGAGTACGTACCTGCAGAAAGCAACAAGCCGAGTGCATGCTCAAAAATTTTGGTTTACCTTGGCAAACAAACATGTTGGTGAAGTTTTTAATGGATGGACTTTTAGCTTGAACAAATTCTGAAGGGGGAAAGGAAAAAAAAACATATATATACTCCATATAAGAATATCAAATTGCAGTCCTTCCATGCACTATAAATCAGAGCATTTCGAAAATGGACTTCCAAAGTCCCCACAGGATTCATCTTCCAAAGTCCTAACTTCTCATGTGGTTTAATGGAGATAATACGCATGTCTTGGTGATATAGTTTTTTCATTTCTCTTTGGTCTTTGACCATGTAAAACCTTTTTTCACTTGATCATGATTTAATCAAATCTCATTTTATTTTATAATAAGGAAAAATTGCAATTTTGATCCCCAATATTTGGCCTATGTGTCGAACTGATATCTAATATTTTGATCAAAACAAATTTGGCCCCCAAACAAACTTTGTGATTTTAGGCAAATTTAGGATAACTAACAGAAATGGAATAATGACTAACGGTCAACATCAAATTATCGTTAGTAAATAACATTGACTTTGTACCAATCTTTTGATTTTGAATATTAAGGATTTTAGCCTGAATTAAGAGAGGTTCGAGCAAAACTATATTCACTACAATTCTTGCTTTTTTGGACCGTGGAAAATTGTCTTATCGTGAATCATAGATGGAAAGACAGAGTGTTGATTGAAAGGCCAATTATCACTGAGTTCATGGAATCTAGAATTCAAGTTTGGATTTACAAGTATGTCAGGCATTACAAATGTACAATGGCCAAATCTTTAGATCAAAAATTTGCAATCAATCTGTGAACATTGGAAAGAATGAGTCCTAAGTCCTAACAACAAAAGGAAAATCAATTTACTCTTGCAATTCAACTCTTTTGGGTACGGCTTTTTTCCCCTTCTTCCACCCGCTCTTTACCTAACGTTTTCCACCAAGTCGTAAATTGTGGGAACACCAATTTCAAGCTTACAATATGGTTTTTACAACTTATTTTGATTTTTTGCATATCAAGAAATAGGACATTTCACCTAAAATTATTACTGAGAATCCTACCACTACAAAAGATATGAAGACAATTTTGAAAATAAAAACCCTAAATGCATTTTAAAAAGTAATTTGTTTCCGTTTGTCATTTTCATCTTGTCTATTGTTTTATGAGCAAATTACTCAGCTGCCTACTAAACTTTTGTAATAGAATGGTTTTGTTCATTCAATTTTTAAAAGTATGAAATTATCCACTCAACTTTCAAACGTACATAATTTAGGTCATTTCGTCTGTTTTTATCATCAGGTCTGTCTCTCGGTGATGTCTCATGATTCGTACAAACCCTTAGATGTGGTAGAATTAATGGCGAAAATACACAGAATTGCCTAAAGTATACACATCTCGGAGATGTGTGAATAACTTCATACTTATAAAGATTGAGTGGCTACAATTATACCATTCAAAAATTTAGTGGGTAATAAGGTAACTTGCTTTTGTTTTATTGTTCTACCTGAAATCACAAAAGATACAGAATCTCCGAGACGAAACAGATCCTTTGGGATGCCTACGAATTTGCAAATTCCTTGTCATGTAGTCAGTATTCCGAATCAACCAAACTGAAACGTGCAAATAGACAAAAGCATCCGTTGCGAATAAAAAACATTTGCATGCACATTTAAGGAATTGTAATATCTGGCCGTGTTTGCTTAAATTGTATTAGTTGCTTAAAACACCTAATCGAGACTGTGCGCCGGAGTATTTGAAGATAAGTTACTACACCTTCCACCATATTTCTTTTTTTTTTTTCTCACGTCCCAAAATAAGACTCACCATTTTAAAATTCATACAAAATATTAGTTGCTTTTTAATTTTATCATTTCAAAAATTAACCTTTTCAAATTTGGATGCACATTTAATCACCAACTGAATGGTTTTTATAAAATGCTATAGATGTAATTTCATTCAATGCACACATCCAGACATCAACGATTAAATGTCCCCTTAAAATGATGAATTTCCAAAAAAAAAAAAGTATAATATTGAGACGGAAGGAATCCTTTGTTGAATATATCAAGGAAAGCAGTAACAAGTTAAGATTATAGTGCATGCATGCTGACGTGCTCTACAGATGTGGTTTAACAGGGCAAAGCTAACATGTCAGCCAAAGAGATAATTGACGGACTTCTGGTTTGAACAAACTCTGACGGCTTAAAAAGAAACAAACCAGTTTATAAGCATATCTTGGTGAATAGATGTAGCAAAATGGCATCAAATTGCCGACCTTCAAAGGACTATAAATCAGATCATTTCAAAAGTAGGCTTCAGTGCACTTTCAATTCCTCGGTTACAGGAGAGTAGTAGCATAGCGTCATAATGGCCAATATCCTACTAATCTTGTCAATCCTGTTCGTGGTGATATCCCATCAGTGTTACGGGAGTCAACCACTTTCTGAATTCCTGACAGAGAAATCGTTCAAAGGTGCGTTTCACGCTGATTCTTTTAATGCATTGAGTCTAAGATCTGAATCTGATGCATCTGCCAAGGCTTTTGCTGTGCATGTTAGCCCCCAAGATGGACTCAAAGAGAAAGACAAAATTGACAGATTGCCCGGGCAACCTGATGGAGTAGACTTCAACCAGTTTTCAGGCTATGTTAAAGTAGACTGTGGAAGAGTTTTGTATTATTATTTCGTTGAATCCCCACAGGATTCATCTTCCAAACCCCTTCTCATGTGGTTTGCCGGAGGTAATGTCCCTTGACATGGTCTGTTACTTCGCTTTTGGTCTTCAACGTTACATAACCAATGTTGATCACTTGTTCATTTGTTCAGAATTCGTTTGTTTAAAATTCCATTATCAACTTTAATTATTTACATATTGTTCTTGAACATGCAGTGCCTGGTTGTTCTTCCTTTGGTGTTGGAGCATGGACGGAAATTGGGCCATTTAGAGTCAACAAAGATGGCAAAACTCTGTACCGTAACCCATATGCCTGGAATAGCGGTAAGTGCTAATTCGAACGTAGTCGCATGATATGAACCTTTCATATGTAGGTTAGTTACTGCAGAATAGTGACCAAAAGTTTGCATTTGAATACTCGTCCCAGAGGCCAATCTCATCTTTGTTGAGGCACCAGCTGGTGTTGGATTTTCATACTCAAACACGAGTGCATATTATGAACGTATTGGCGACACCCTCACTGCATACGATACATATACCTTCTTAGTCAACCGGCTCGAGAGGTTTCCAGAATACAAGAATAGAGACCTTTTTCTTGCAGGAGAAAGTTATGCAGGCCATTATGCTACTCAACTTGCTCAGCTGATACTCCGTCAAAATAAATATTCAAATCAGACTACTGCGATCAACTTAAAGGGAGTTGCAGTAAGGAGTGATTTGACAAGTTTGTCAATTTTAGTGTATAATAATAAAACTAGATATCAATCTTACTCTTTTTTTTTTTTTTCAAATGATAACTCATGTTTCAGCATGGCAATTCGTACATTGACCATGAATCAAGTTTCTACGGATCATTAGACTATGCGTGGAGACATGCCCTCATATCAGATGAGATATATAACGGAGTGAATTCCAATTGCAATTTATCTTTAGTCATTCAATCTGATAGCTGCTCTGAATATCTGAATTCCAATTGCAATGTCACTGAAGGCATCAATCCTTATGATATCTATGCATCCTTGTGCAATTCTACACCTGGAGCGGCTCCGGTACGTATAAAGTGATACATTCTCTTCGATCAGTCTCTTTTCGAGTGTGCCAAAAACTAATCTAATTTTCTTTTTTAATCACTGGCTAATTAAATGATGACAGTATTCATATGTTGGCCTGTGCTCCACCGACTATGTCTCGGATTACATGGAAAATCCTGAAGTTCAGATTGCTCTTCATGCAAATATTTCCACCGTTCCTTATCCGTGGAAAATTTGCAAGTAATGCTACTAATTGGTATAATATATTAGATTGCTAAATTTAGTACTTCAAACTTGGAGCAAGATTTTCCAAGTATTTGACTATCATTAAATTGTCCCTTGGATCGTATGTTGTCCTCTGGTATGTCTCGGAAATTAGTGATTTGAAGAATTGGACCGATGCTCCTAGGACAGTGTTGCCAATCATCACTGAGTTGATGCAAAGTGGAATTCAAGTTTGGATTTACAGGCAAGTCATTCCAGACCAAATATGCTTTTGATCAGTACTGACATTTGATGGATGGATAACTCCTGACACAACAACAGCAAAAGCATAACAAAATAGTAGTATTCCTTACCTTTTGCAAATTTAATACCTGATTAAGAGTTTTCAAATGATGTTCAGCGGGGACACTGATAGTGCTATTCCTGTAACATCTGCCAAATATGCTGTTAATAAGCTGAAGTTATCGGTGAAAACTGCTTGGTACCCATGGTACCTTCAAAATGAGGTAATTCTTCTAATCGCGTTTGCATTTCTTATAGCATCTGCTACATTTCCTCTTAAAACAAGTGGATATATACATACATATGGTTGCTTGTGCAGGTCGGAGGCTACGTTGTTGAATACCAGAACTTGACATTCGTTACCGTCAGAGGGGCCGGACTTTTTGTTCCCGACCATCAACCCGCAAGAGCCCTCGCTCTCTTCACTTCATTCATCAATGCACAGTTGCCCCCTTCCACCTAGACTTTTATTCGGGATGATGCTTCCGCCACTGTACAAGAAAGAAACTCATGCGAGCTGTCGCTTTGAATCAATGTCATCTTTTAGTTTTTATTCTTTCTTTATTTTCCTTTTCGAATAAAATTCAATATCAAGTCTGCTTTTTAAATGTCTCCCTAGCTAGTGTTGTTACAAATTATATCTCTTTCCCTGTGCATTTCTTTACGTTGTCTCTTTTTATTTTCTTTTTGAACTATTGTGAATCTTAATTATCGACATATATACTTGCAAAGAGTCATTTCCTAAGTTCTATTAGTGAACATAATAACTGCATGCATAATTTTACCGATCACAGGTCTCACAAGTTCTGGTTCAAATCAATTGAGGGCAGAAAGATGATTCAAAATGAGTTAAAATTATGAAAATTTTGCAATGATTAATCAGGCAACAAAACTTGGTCAATTTTATATGAAATTTTATATATAACTAACACAAGTAATGAAATATGTTATGAACTATGTTGATTTTTGAAATAATTTTTAAGTTAATTTTAGTGGAGTGTAATGGAGAGAAGCTCTCTCCAACGCAAGGAAGAGGAGCCTAGTCCCACTACTATATACTGCAGAGGCTATCAAACATCCGACACGAGAGCATTGCACAAGTACGTACGCTCTAATTGTCTGTGAACCTCAGATTCAAGTAGTACGTAATTTGCTTCAAGAAAGAGTCTGGTTGTCCATTTGTGAAAACTATAATGTTAAAACGGCTAAATGATGAAAGCTATGGTCCCCAAATTTCCTATTTTAGTATGCTAGCTTAATGAGATGAGGTAAATTTTGTGCCATGGAACTGAGTTGATTAGCAACTGATCTTTGCATTCGGCTATACAAGAGATCTTCTGGAGTTTAACAGAGAGAAGAACAAAAATATCACAATCGGGTTTCCTAACATGATGACAGTCCCACTAAATCAGCCAACCGGCTGAGGAAGCGAGCCGACAGGAAGAATAACCATATATAACCCACCTACAATCACTAAAAAGGATAATCCTGAATCAGGACGTGATTTACTTTTCAAATAAATTTTCTGGATTAATATCTGTAGGCGAGTGTTGCAAATTGCGACAGCAGGTTTATGTCTGTATAGCTTTCTGGGTAAACTTACCGGGGAGAATCAGATATTCTCCAAGTAATTATTCAAATTCTATGGAAGTAATCACCTATAGGTTGTGTTTGATCCATGCCAATGAAGTTAGGTCGTAAATAAGGTTGGAAGTTGCCTTGACCAGAGTCGCAAAAACTGATAGAAACTGGTCACCCTGCACTTGAAAGCACTTGTAGCTAGACATGCTATTGAATTTCAAGAACATGCAGCTGCCAACACTAGTATTGTTGACTATAATTTTCCTGTCTTGGCAGCAATATGCCTTTCTCATGATCAAAGGTGAAGCCATTCAGGCTGATAACCTTAACGAACTCATTAAGACTCGACATTCAGAAAATCCTCCAAAATTCGGAGCCATGGCTTTATCTAGATCTTGCAGTTAATTAAAACTATGGCCCCAGTGTACATTAGCCCTCAAGATGGATTGATGGAAGCTGATAATATTGATTCATTGCCAGGGCAGCCTGAAGAAGTTGATTTAAACCAATATTCCAGTTACGTAACAGTGAATCGGGAGGGCAGAAGAGCTTTATTTTATATTATTTTGTGGAATCACCTGAAGATTCTTGATCCAAGCCTCTAGTCTTGTGGCTCAATGGAGGTAAGCGGATTTTTAAACTACTTCTACCATTTGGACCTTCTTTCTGATATTCAGTTTTTTCATTACTGTCCCTTATTCTTATTCCTCCCTCCACAACACAACCCCCTTCTTTCCTTTAAATGTAACTACCAGCCTGTTATTAATCACAAGAAGAAAATGAGGCGTTGTACAAGAGATGAAAATGCGATTCAAACCAATTACAGAGATATCTTATGAGCCTAAAATGTCGGACAGGAATATAAAGCATAGTAGAGGCCAATAATCCGCAATGGACCCCGTTCATCTAAGACTACCTCCCAAGTAACTTAGGCCCAAGATACCGAAACAGATATATAGTTTATTATCTGTCCTCTCATTGATGCAGAGCTTACCACAAATATTATTGACAGCATGATATGGCAATGATCAGGGCCAGGATGTTGCTACCTGGGAATTGGAGCCATGCAAGAGCTTGGACCTTTCAGAGTCAAGAGTGACCGCAAGACCCTCTTATCGAAATGACTACAGCCGAAATAATGTTGCAAATGTCAGATTTCTAAGAGTCCCCAGCTGGTGTTGGCTTCTCATGTTCTAATAAAATCCCTTGTGCCGGGTGACAAAATCACAGCTTCAGATTCTTATGCATTTCTTGTAAACTGGTTTGAGAGATTCCCACAATACAAGAACCACGAGTTCTACATAACTAGGGAGAGCTACGATGGCCCTCAGCTTGCCCACACCAACCTTGCGATGAATAGAAAATCCCCTAAAACTTTCATTATCTCAAAGGCATTGCAGCAAGTCAATACTGCATTTTGCATTTTTGTTCCATTACTCAGTTTTTTCCATGCAAACCCACAGACGAGCATTCAGTTCATTCCATCTACAATGACAAAGGGGAGGTACGACTACTTCTGGACCCATGCTTTGAGCTCGGACGAAATCCGCATGCAAAAATTGACAATCGAACTGGGAATTATTCACCCGCATGCATGGAACAAGCAAGGGTAGAACGCGGGGAGATCGGTTTATTTAACATTGCTGCTCCAATTTGCAGGTCTTCAGAGCCAAGCAAACCCTCCGATTCAGTAAGTGTGCACTGTGCATTATTGAGCATTGTACCATGCATGCGTTTATCAACAAAACACTATCATGATTTGTAATCACATCAAATTATTTGAGAGAAATAATGAAGAATCCGGAAGAATCTAAAAATTATTATAATTTATTTTTCACTCTCTCTCAAATTTGAAGCATTTGCGCGAAATTTGCACTCCGAAGTCAGAATCGAATCCATTTGGTGGAAACTCTGCATGTTATTTGGCATTTTGAACATCGTATACTCGTAAATGTTGTCCAAATATAAACAGTGCCGTTGTTGTTTTATCCTTATTAGATTGAAGAGTGGACGAATGCTCCAAGAATTATACAGGGGCATATACCTGAACCGAGTAGAAGTGCAACCAGCTGGGATTTTTGTCACTCGATTCAATCCTCAAATGGACAAAACATTTTAAAGACATTGGCAAAGCAAGACCCTGACATCTGTTACAAATGTTAATATATATGGCAGCGGACCGATACCATTGGAGCGGCAGTCCAGATACCATTCTTCCCTTAATCGCAAATGGCATCAGAATCTGGCTATATAGGTACATCACCTGCTAATTGTTACAAATTAGTGCCATACAATAGATCTAATTGAAAATTCACATTCACTTCTCACCAAGCTCAACGCACAATACTATTTCGGAAAAGCACAAAAGCAACTGAAAATAAACCTGCTCAAATTGCATCATCCAACAAAAAATAAAATAAAATAAATAGAAGCAACCTCTTACTTCATTAACTTCTCATGAAAATAGCAGGTTGGCGGCTACGTAATTGGGCACAGAGGACTGGTTTTACTTACTGTTAGGGACGCAGAGCACGAAGTTCCAAGCCATCAACCAGAGCGCTCGCTAACTATGATTCCTTCAAGGGAAACTTCCTCCTCCCCAAAAAAAAAAATCCTCCTGAACTTCGATAGCACTGCTCATTCGACTGCCAATCCTACAGCAGTAGAGATTTATAAAGCAACATGCTGAATCAATGAGAACCGTATCCTCTATTTGCGATTGCACAAACTTGAAGCGAATTAATGGCATATATCCAGCTCATCTCCTCGTCAATGAGACACAACATGCCACGAGACTTGTATACGGAAACTAATAAATTTTTGGGGGACAAGATCGGTCAGCCAAAATATATATTATTTATTGCTCAATTTATTATTAGCAGGAGGATCAATCGTTTATATAAAGTCAAAGCTGAACGCATTGACGTATGCATGAGTGTGTTTAGATTGTAAGTTATTTGAAATATTTTTACTATAGCACTTTTTGTGATGTGATGTATGTGAGATAAAAAGGTAATTGAAAAGATAAAAAAGTGTATTGAAAATTGTAATGGTGATGTCAGCAAATATATTTGGCCAAATAATTGACTGTCCAAACAGATTTCAACCCCCAAAAAAAAAATATATTAAAACATTTACACGACAAAAAAAATACTATATACAGTTCTAAGAATTTTTCCAGCCCCCCGTGTCTCAGATCTCTAAGCTACACCCCCCTTGTCCCATAGAAAAATGGGCTTGCTCATAAGCAGAACAATCAACATTTTCCCGTTAAATTGTCCACAATCTTCTCGCTCTCTCTCTCTCTCAAGTGTTCCTAGAAGCATACAGTCCATCCTGAGTGATGCACTACTTTTACAGTCTTCACCTGCAAAGTTCATGGTCAAATCAAAATCACAGGTTTGAGCTACATATAAGGAGACCATTATATATGTCGTCTTATGTTACCTGGAAAGGTGGAAAAGCCATTCAGAAAGGACTATTAGACTCTCTGGACTTGCTCCTGAACTTTCAAAGCTTCCACAATGCTGTCAACCCAGCTGCAAGGAGGCATGAAATGAGATTGCTTAATGTAGTAGATGTTACTAGTCGATCTCTTGTTTTGAAAATAAAAGATGAAAATATTATGTGGAAGACCACAATCGAAGAGGACTTGAGAATTGGAGAACTGTTTGAAGTTGATAAAAAAAAAAAAGAGGAGGAGGATATTAGTGGAAGCCAACTTGCAGACAAGACCAATGGATCGCTAACACAATGGTGTAGTCCAGGAAAGAGTGAAAAAAGGGAGTCAATACTTGGCATAGATGAGCCTGGAAAGCTTTAAAAGTACTGGCTTCAGACCATTGCATAGCTGAGGCACTGGGGTGACTTGAACCTATATCGGAACATATTTCTGCCTTCATGCCACAATAGATACTATTACCCATAATTAAAGACGTTGCAGAAAGTAAATTCCCTTGAAAAGAAAACTATTACCCATCAAGACCAGGATCTACTGGATAGTATACATTTGTTAACCCTAGTCTTTTTGCAGCCGAAGCAGTTGTCTCGCCAATACAAGCAACAGCATTACCCCACCTCTCCAGTTCTGGAATAAGATTAATCCAAGCCCTATTGCAGAGCAGATGCAAAATGAGTATTAATAACAGCAAAAAATGCAGGTAAAAGGTAAAGCACTGACTGCAAAAGTAGATAAAGTCTTGCATTCATCTCATGTAATATACGTCATTAAAGTGATATTACCACAAAGCCAGAACTAACTGTTGATCTATTGTCCAGACCAACTGATCCAGAGCAGTCAATGCCAGTAATAGAACATTTTTTTTCCTTTTACACACATGAACTGACATACACAACATTGTAAGAGAAAGAACCTTCTGCTCTGCGGTAATTTAAAAGGGCAAAAGTTTTACCGCAGAGCAGAAGGTGATGCCACAGCAACAACAGGAGCCGCAAGTGCCTGTCTCAAAACCATCTGATCAACTTGATCCACAGGTACCTACATATTTGGTAGAGCTCAGAGTCAGCAATATGAAGCAGGCAAACACAAAAAGAAAAGGATATTTGGCAATTGGCATGACTTGAGCAAATGGAGACTACGCATGCAACAACCTGCTATTCCCCAGGTAGTAAGGAACTGGGAAGTTATAAACATACTGAATAGCTCCCATGATAAAAATCCTAACTATCCAAAACTCATTTCCCCAGACAACAGTTAAATGAACATGGAAATCCAAGCCCTTGGAACCAGCACAGAAAATTATTGTATTATGAAATTTTAAAATCAAAGTGAATGACACAGCCAAACTGAATCCTTAACTCCATAGACGTGAACAAGTTGTATCCCTAGTTCCAGGCAACAAAATATTGAGATGCATGCCAATCCCACCCAAAAAAAAAATCATCTAAACAAAAGCACATAAGAAGGAACACAATGCAAAAACAGTAGCAGACAACTGTCACTATTGAATTCCCATCATGATATCTACAAACAGCAAATCATACATTGCCATCAATGCATGAAAGCAAAGACGAGAATTTATTGATAATTTCACACCATATTTACCGTTGTGTATGTATTAAGCCGAATGACCTCAAATCCACGCTCCGAGAGACCTTCCTCTGGAAATTATTACAAAACAAATCTACTTAGTATTGCTTTTATTATATATAATCACATATGGAAACAAAGAGCAAAAGGAACATGCTCTGCAAGGATGAAGGTAACTGCAAAAACAGATAAATGGTATCAAAATGCTGGGAAAGAAAAGCTCAAGGAAATGGCTAAACTCCACCGAAATAGAATCCCTTTATGTAGAGATAACCTTCAGCATCATTCATGATTCGACAGAGAATCACCATATTGCAAAATGAGCCATAACTTGAATACATAAAGTTTCTAAAACTACTTAGTATTGCATCTCTTCATTTATGTTGTCCATCTCTCCATATTCTCCTCTAATAAAAGTAGAGAAAAAAATCTTCAGCAATTTATTGCACAGCCTCTCATTATCTTCAAAGATGCAGAAGAAATAGAACTGAAGTCGCTACATAAGAAATATCCAACTCCAAATCCTTTCAGTTAATAAGATTAGCTTAATCTTAATTAATATAGATCAGTTCCAGGAAAATGGAAAGTAAAACATAACGTACTGATGATTATGCCTGTAGAGACAGCAAAACGGAAAAATGGCATTACATAGGCCACCAATATGGCAGGTGATGAAGCGATGATTGAGATGAGTTTCTTAAGTGCTTGTAGATGTTATTTATACTAATCTACAATGTGCTTAGATGAAATAGAGTAAGTTTGGTATCCAGTAAGTGGAAAAGAAAACCAAGATGCCTGTTCACTCAAAGCACTTCTAGTGCATACATGTCAACTTATTTGGTGTCTTTTCACTTTCTATCATATCAAAGGATAATATAATACACCTGTGCATATAGATACTTGTCTGTGTGTATGTGTGTGCGCAGAATCTTTGTAGATGAAAGTAACACATACCAATATCACTGCTAGCTTTTGCTGAAGCAGGATATAGGACACTACATCTTTCATTTCCATGCTTTGGAAGCTCTGAAGCCAAAATTTTGCCGGTAGCTGAAAATTACAATTGAATTCAAGTTTTCAGGTTTTCAGCAAGCAAAGGTGGCTGCCCATTTTGGTGAGGAAATAGACACACAAGCAACAAGCAGTAACAATATACAGAAAAATATTTTCTGTGGCATACTGTCCAAGGTTGAGAAATACTTTAACCGCAAACCTTTTGATGGTGCAAAAGCAACATGCAGGTACTGTTTTGATTGTTGTGCAACTTTTTCAAATATACTAGCTGTACCACCACCAACGACACCAACCTTAACATTTGGGGTACCTGCTGCTCTGTAACAGAAATTTGTTACAAGTTTATTGACCAGCTATCTTAAAAGATCACGATCAAGAGTAGCAGAAATAAATGGCTAACTCATGCGCATTACTTAATTTGAAGAGGGTAATTCTTCTGTCAAGTCAATTTTCTAGTGGATTTCCTGTCCACTAGGTGACTTTGTCTTGTTATTATAATTTCCTCTAGCAGAAAACTGACATGCTTGAGTGAAATCTTCACCCTAAAGGCGATTCTAAGATATGCCAACAGAAAATAAGAAGTCTGCTGTAACAAAACTGCAAGTTCTGCTGTGACTGTCTTTTAAAATGCTTCATTTTGGAATAATTCCAATTACCCTCTTTCTCCAGTGGGCATAAAGTTCTGCAGACACAATCCTGACTCTCATATATTTTAGAATTGGCTATTGGATTCAATTCACATTTATCCCACTATTACTAACCTTATGCAATAGGTTATAAAGCGATCGAGACATATGCATAACCAAAACTCTCCTCTGATTCTCAGCTTTAAATTAAAGGGGAACCAAACATAAAAAGTTCAGCATTCAAAAATGCAGTTATAACCTAGGCCAAGGCAAAACTAGCATTGCATGGTCATGAAACGGGATCACAGGACTTCGGAAATGTGGTTAAAACATAATTTTTGCTTATTTACTTTCATAAACTCAAATGGCAAAAAAAAAAATGTATCATGAGAATCTTCAAATTTCATTTGTCATCAGATACATTCTTTGGAGAACCATCTTTGTAGGTTACCAGATAGGGCCAGAAGCAATACTTTTCCAAAGAATGCAGAAGTACTTATCAATTAAGAGATGGATCATGTTCAAAGATAACCTACGTCTTCCCACTTCAGCTACAGTCAGGAAAAACTTACTTCCAAGCATCAAGGAAAACTGTTCCTGCTTCCGGTGAAGTTACGATGACCCAGTCAAAAGCAGTCTCTGTTGGCACAAGGAATAAGAAAGGCATGGACTTGGGATCAATAAAGAATCAATACTAGATTTTACTCTTTCTTATTATGAAATCAAAGTGTGAAAATAAACTAGGGTGAAGCACACAACGGAAGTAAATACCAGAGCAATCAGGCATATCAAACACTATCGAGTATAACAGTTAAGCAATCAACACTCAAGCAGCAGGCTGATGGATGATGCACACAGCTTTAGCTAACACTCCCGTCGCCCTATTTCCAAAATCTTTCCCTCCCTCTCCATTCGTAGTAACCATGATTATCACATGAACAAATAAATTTGATCACGTAGACATTCCCAGTAAACTAGGCAATTGGGTGAGTTTCAAACTAATCCAAACCACGAATGGGGAATGAACTCACCACTTAACAAACACGACAGCCTGTTTGAATCAGGTAACAGCTCATGCTGGATAAGAGGAAGCTCTAGACAATCAATTCCATGTTTCCCCTGCAGCACATGATGAAAATTCCATCTTAATCCCGGGTTTTCTAATTTATGAATCCAATCAGGATACTACCTTCAGCATACTATACTTATGATGGTGTTAGAAAGGCACTAAAGGAATGCCAGTACACTTGCAGTATACATTTGGTGGAAAATGATGCTCGATAGCGTTTTGTTTTTTTTTCCCAACAAACAGCTGACTTTCCACTCATTTCTACAGAAGCAACAGTAAGACAGTAAAACAAAGCCACATTTCAGCTTAGTATATGATCAAAAACCTAAAATGCAGGAAACGACGCCCATAATACAGCATTAAAACTCGTAATTCAGGTCTACATACTTTACACTGAAACCAACGGCCACATCGTTCCTGGAGGCAACCAGAAGATTTACGAGTAACTACATCAAATGCAAAATGCTAATACACATACATTAACATAATTGCTGCTACAGAGAGAGAGAGAGAGAGCGAGTGGTTACATACCAGAGCATTTATGAGCTTCGCGTTTTTGCCACGCTCTCTAGTGACCACGACTTTCGGCTGCGACGTTGAGGAAGCAGACGACGCCGAATTAACTGAAGACGAAGCACGCAGGCACGTTATCCTGCGAAATTGCAGAGAGGAGGACGACGACGACGACGGAGCAAGAGGAGGAGGAAGATGAAGAGAGGAGGAGGTGAGAGAAAGCCAAGGCATTATTGTGGTAAACGTGGAGCTAGGAAAATCGGGCGAAAGAGCCAGCTGCAACCCCCCTACCAAATTTTTTATATTTATATAATACTGCTACTGCCATATTTATCCTAGTCCTGACCCACCTCAGTCTCACTCAATTTAATTCCTAGTGCCTTGACAATTGAAAAACGAACAACTTTGGGCAAATGTCCAATTTGGTCCTAAAACTTCATCTCACCAATATTTATAAGTCTTTCGAAATTTTTTTGCTTTTATTTCTGTAACAATCTTCAATCGCTCAATATAGTAGTGTTCAATATCAATAATAACGTTGTCTAAAAAAATTAATGTGTATGCGTCACACCATACGATTAGGAATCATAAGTATTATTTTTATCTGTTTTTCTCAATTAATATGTATGATGCGTCACAAATCATAAATATCATAAATCGCTCAAATACTAGTACTAGTAGGAGTGTTTGGATAGCAATTTTTTTTCAAATAATATTTTGTTTACATCAAAATATATTTTGCAATCCATCTTTTTATCTCACATATATCACATCACAAGAAGCATCACAATAATTATTACAAATAATATTCTATCCAAACAAATTATTTGAAATCATAAATATTCTTTTCATTGCCTTTCTCCTACTAGTTGAGTTAAAGTTAAGTTTATTGGAACGGGTAAATAATTTCTCAGTCGAGCAACTATTGACAGAGTAAAATGGTGCAGAAACTCAAAGTATAGGGGGCCAAATGGTTGGGATCAAAAGTTTGGGGACTAAATCTATCTTGGTAAATTAGTGGATGACTGGATTCGCTATTTCCGCAAGAAAAATTGATTAATGAAGCTTGGTTGATTGAATGATGACCTAATCCAGATATTTTGGAATAAAAGTGGTCTGACTTCGACGTATTAGTGGTAAGTTGGCCCCCCAATGGGTCGAAGGGTCACCGCGGCCCACCTCGTGAAATGATGGCTCCTGCTCCTTTATTAGGAAACGAAGTGGAATCGCGATGCTTCCCAGAAGGGTTGATCTGGGCCGTCCATCGGATCGGGAGGATAATAAAAGGAGTTGTTGGGGGAGTGATCTGACGGTGAGATCTGGGACTGGGTTCCCGTCGGGTGCGCGTCAACGTTGCTGATTGATTGTTGTGGTGCAACCCAACTCCCAACATCGCAACCAAGCTCATGCACAATCTGCTGATGTGTGCCCTCTGATGAGGCAGGCCCGTACAAGCTGGAACGTGCTTGTGCCTTGTGAAAGATGAAATGATAGTGGTATTTGAATTGAGTACGATTCAATAAAATGTACTTCGAAATTGATTCTCTAATTATTCAGATAATAATTAAGATTGAATAGCATTTATGTGTTTACCAAATATTTAAATTCCACTTGATTAGCATAAATTAAAATTTATGATATTTTGATAAAATTAATATCTGAAATTTAAAATCTAAAATCTGAAATTTGAATTTTTTTTAAATTATTGAGTCGTTAAACACTAAAACTCTAATATCTGAATTCTTTAAGTTTTGAAACCCTAATATTCAAGCATATTCTGCATTAAGTAGTAAGTGAACCTCTATCACAAAATTTTTTTTTTTTTTAATAAGATGTTATATTTTTTGTTGTCAGACAAGTCTAAAGCTTTTAGACACTAGATTGAATGATCAAACAAGATCTAATACATGTAAAAACTTCAAGTTACACGAACTCGAATCGAGTTTAGTTCAATAAAAAAAAACTCATTTAAACTTGGATTAGTAAATAAATAAATTAAATTTAAATACAATTTTAACCTTATTAAACTAGGCGACTTGAGTGTTGGATTTGATTAAACTTATTTATACACCTACTTGTACTTCCATTTTTGGTAAAATTCATACTCTCTACTTTAACGGGAAGATTATCCGATTTGGCATTATAGCCTTCCAAAATGCAACCTTTAAAACGTACTCCCTCCCTTTTTTTATAACTGACGTTTAAGGTTTTGCACACCAATTAAGAAAAGTTTTTCATTGTTTAAATCTATACACTACTTTCCTTCTGTACCCTCATTAATTGTCCAATTCACCCATGTTTTCTCTCACTAGAGTATTAAATGATGCTGTTTTACTAGGCCAAAAGCAATGCAAACTAACTCCCACCAATTATGAAAAGAGAGATAAAAGGGTAAAATTGTGAAAAAATAATTAATGCTGCATGGAGATAATAAAACGACAGATAAAAGTACTTAAGAGCAAATTTCTTAAATGTCAATTATAAAAAAAAGGGAGGGAGTATTTTTGTGCTTGATCTCCTAATGGAGCTCACACTTTGACAATGGTGCATGAGAAATGGGACCTTTATCAAATCTCAAGAGCCCTCAAATGAAGATATGCACACGCAGGGGCTGTCAACAAATGCTTAACAAGAATGTCTAGTGCTCTAGTTGTCACTCAATTGGGCCTGACAACGTTGTACCACTAGCCTTGACACCAACGTGGTATGTGCATCAATGGTAATCGGCCATCACTTCTTGTACATTTATTATTTTTTTCTTTTCCTCCAGTCCACAGAACACCGACCTCGGCCGGAGTTAACTTTTCCGAATGGGAGGAGCATTCTGCGAGCCATTAAGGTTTTTTTATAACCTAGCAAGTGTGGCGCATTTACCAGAAGGAACTGAACACTACTCCAATTCATAATTGACCAAACTCCTCAACGAATGTATATATAGCATATAGCAACGTGAACACCACAGAATTCGAATACATCCCTGCCTCTTTATCGTCATCATCAGAGGTGCCAGAGCAGCAAGTGCTCGGAATAATAACAAATAAAGAATTAAGTGCTCACAATCCATATCAATGTTATTTATTCAAATTAAGAAGTTCCAATATTATGCTCACACTTCTAAACAAATGTTTAATCAAGCCCCTAGAGAACAACTACCTGATTTCTAGTCAAAATTCAGTTCCCCTCTCAGATTTCGGAGGGAATAACAGGGTTCCAAATTCCCACACGCTCAACAGAGAGACAAAAGCACCCATGTGCCTCATCTGCTGAATCGCTGTGAGCTCGGCCGTCTAGCTTACTTGTTGCTGGTGGGTTCCGTACATGGGATAGGCTCCATAAGCAGCTGCTGCTGCTGCATACATCCCTGGGTCATGAGGTGGTGGCATCGCATACCCATAGCCATCGTAAAAGTGACCTCCATAGTATGCCCCCGTCCACTGGTTTCCAAATTCAGCTCTTAACTGCAAAATAACAATTCATCAATTATGAAATAGTTGCAGCCAACAACAAAGCAGATGAAACAGCATTCAGACTGCCAACTACTCAAGATGCAGCCTAACAGAATATTTCTCCACCAGTACAAGTTAGTAATGGCAGGAACCAAAAGGAGAAAATGAAAGGAGAAAACAAAAATGAGCAAATGGCTAATCGAGGTCATTTCATATACACAATTGTAGAACTGTTACTAGCCGACCTTTTGCTGCCACTAAATCACTCCAATGACGACATATTAGAAGCAGATGACACACTAGAAAAACAGTTAAGCATGCATATCCTGATTGTCCGGATTTTTCACAAATTTTTCATGAAAAGCGAAGGTGCCCTGTAATAGAACGAATTAATTTTTTCAATCTCAATTATTGAAAGAAACAATGTGCACAGGAATGAACTGATATAAGAGAAAGTTGCTACCTGCTTATTTGCTGGATTACGCCCCCAAGAGAGCCTCACAGTTTGCTTTCCAATCGTGGTACCATTCAACTTCTGCAGTGCCTCCTCGGCATCATTTCTGTCCAAAAAATGGCCACATTCATTCCATCGTACCTGAACTACCAGCGGAAAATCTCTGTATAAAATTTGAAATATAATGAATTAGATTGGACCAGAAACATACCGATTAGCAAATTGTACAAATCCACATCCTTTTCCAACTGGAATCTTCACCGAAACTATTTCCCCATACTGCAAGAACGGTTGCCTCAGATCCTCATCACTGACATTTGGATCAAGCCCTCCAACGAATATCTACAACCATAATATATTAGCCAAAGGAAGTGGGGGAAAAGAAAAGGAAAAGTATAAAGGCTGAAATCAACTGTTGTATTAGGAGAATCTCCATCAGATTGAGAGCCCTGGCCTGATGAACTATTAATGTATCCACCTGTCAAAACCAATCCAAAACAATTAGAACTTGTTGAGCAAAAATTTCAGAGCCGATGCAACTGCAATAGATCAAAAATGTCCATGGTCAAACTAGAAAACAAAAGGGTTTGAGATATCCCATTACACAAGCATCTGTCTCATTTCAAACTAAACCAATCACCCAAGAACTCGATGTAGAATGATATCCAATTGACCAAGCCATGTATTAAGGCTTTGAAATGAGAAGACAGGCAAAATCACTTGGCATAAAATCTTTCATCCTAGGGCGGCTTCACAACCAAAAATGACATCAAATGTTCTCTTTGATTCCAAATTTCATGGTCATATAAAGTCACATGCTTCTGCAACTTAAGTTGCAGATTGTCGTGCATCTATTTGCATAATGGAATAGGAAAAAGTAACCTTAACAGAATTCCCTTCTATATCTTTGTCTGTATCTGTAATTTAACATAAAGGTAATCATTGTAGGCTGAGATAAACATAGAAGTTCTTATCAATAGTTACTTCAACCTTGGATCAACATAAATGTAATCCGTAACCCAAAAGCATTGTAGAAGAGCACAATAAATAGAAAACACCTGACAGGAAAAGCTTGAATATCTAGTCAACAAACTTGATCGCATTGATACACAGCATCAAATCCAATCATCAGCAAAATCAATGGAAGTTACCTTGTGAAGAATACTGCTGTTGGTATCCAGATGATTTCCTGGGGGTTGCAGCACCAATACGCATGGGCCTGCTTGAACAATAGATGCCATTCATTTCAGTCATAGCCTGTGATCTCTCATTATCATCTCCAAACCTTACAAAACCATAACCCTTTGAACGTCCAGTATTTGCATCAATGACAACTTTAGCAGCTTTAACAGAAGGATATCTACTGGCAAAAGTATCATGCAATAAGCTATCAGTAACATCTGCAGCTAAATCTCCTACAAAGATAGAAAGATCAGAACCATTATTCGAACGCTTGTCGCCCGTGCTAAATGTAGCCCAATTCAGACGAAAAGGTTGTTCTGTGTTAGGCATGATAATGCATGGATATGCTTGCAGGACTTTCTCAGCTGCAGCATGCGAAAAGAACTCCACAAATCCATATCCCTCAGAGAAACCGGTTTGCTTATTGCGAATGACCTTTATAGAGGCAACCTGCAAGAAGATTACATAAATTGGGGGAAGATGTACAACAATTATACATGTAAGCACATGAACAAGTTACTAATGATGAAACATCAAGAATATATTTTGCACACCCTAAAGCCATATTTTAGTTGTAGAATTGGAAACATGTTTGAAGATGATAACAAACTATGCGAAGCAAAATCACAAATTTAAGGTTCCTGACACGATTGCGTCTTAAACTCTCCAGGAGCAACGTCACACAAATATGCTGGATTCTAACAAAATTTGGACAAGACAAGTGCTTTGGAAAGAGATATTCTATCACATTTTCGCTCACATGCTTCATGCATGGTGATTGCTATATTCATTTAAATTACTGAATGCTTAATTATCACCATTCTTAATTTGTCTTTCTGAATAAGTAAATCTTGTAAAATTTGCCAGTTTTAGAGGTGCCTGAGCCTCTACTTCCACAGCACTTTGTTCAAACACACTGAACCATCTAGCTGGAACAATTAAAGCAATTAATGAAAAGTAATTCATTACTAAAAAATGTGATATGAAATATTTTATCTCAGTATATAGATGTACAAAACTAAAATTGCTACCTAAAAGTGTATACTTAAAAAAAATGCCAGCTTGGCACGGAAAAAGGGAGCTCTGGTAAAGATTTGATTTGGTCAATTGAATGAGCTGTCCTTGTTTGTAGAAAAATCCCAGCTTTGAACCAAGAAAGAAACCTAGAGTTAAAAATTCATCTAGTCATTCAATCTGACAAACTTAGAAACTACATTACATATTACCTCAAAAATTTTAGTTTCTCTAAGAAATAATACCAAACATGGGCACTAATATCCAGCTGTGCGCATCAAATCATCAGCATTCAATTCTCCTTTCTCATAAGAACTAAGCTGTTTCTCGCGACAAACTACATCACCATGGATTCATACTCTCTTTCAAAATAAGATTTAGTGTAAACAACAAATAACGAAGACGAAAATCATTCTTTAAATTCATCGACAAAAAAATCTACCAACCGACATTGTAGGCATAGCGCGCGTGAAATCTTAAGCCATGTTTACCAAACAGACGTTGAAAACAATTAAAGCCCAGGAAAGGCATGTGAATATTGAACAAGGTAATGTTCAGATTAGACCTCGCCAGTGGAAGCAAAGCAGCTGCGAAGGTAGTCCTCGTCCATCCAATTATGGAGATCACCGACCCAGATCGTTCTATTCTCACCATTAGATCCTCCACCTCCTCCTCCTTGCTGCTGCTGTTGCTGCTGAGGAGGCCCTTGAGGCTGCGGAGGAGGAGGATGGTGGAGGTGGTGGTGATGGTACGGCATGTAGTGAGGCGGGTAATGTGGGGCTGGCATCATATGATGCGGCATTACCATCGCGGCCGCTGGATACTGCATCGCCACCCACTGCTGCTGGGGTGCAGCCGCCACCGCTGGTGTCACCGCCGCAGGAGTAGCAGCCACCCCCTGCTGCGGCGGCTGGCTATTGCTGTTATTATTATTGTTGATGTTACTATTATTAGTATTTTGTGATTCCGAACCGCTGTTGGCTTGCATCTTCTTCTACAGTGGAAGAAAAGGAACACAAACACACGCACTAAAAAACACACTTTCTTCCTCCTCTATTCAAACCCTAATACTGTATTACTACCCCGAAAAAAAAAAAGAATAGTGTGTATGAAAATAGATGCTTTTTAATTTATTTCAGATTGACGGAGAGATAAGCTTCGAATACGTACAGGATGAATCTGGGCTCTGAGAGAAAAAAACAACAGGAGGGTGGAGGCTAAAGAGAAGATTTTAAGTGAGGACGGCGGATCCGTGGGAGAAGCCCTGGAGCAACGCGTATGGTACGATAGCCGTTGGATGAAACGGTGGTTTTTAATTAGATCCGTTGGATTATTGGATGATGTGTATACTTGATAGGGTAGGGGGTACCCAAAAAAAGAGAGAGAAAGAAAGAACCCGGATGGGATAGATATGTAGGAGTAGTTAAAAAGTGGGGGTATGCTGCTGTTTTTGGGCTTGGTCGGCGCTCGGCCGCCAGATTTGGGAGAAGTTAGAGAGAGAAAGGGAATGAGAGATTTTCTCAGGGCTTTTTGGTTAGTGTGGATGATTATTGTTGGTTATTATTTGTTTTTTGTTGGGGCAGGAATAGGTTACCCTTTTAGGTCTGGGTTTGGGCTTTCGGATTTTGGAAAATGGGGAATGCTGATGTATGATAGATAACTGAGCTGATACGGCCTGCGCTACCGTATTCGTAGTACTGCTTAATTCCACTACTATAAAGGGAAGTGACTTATTATTGTGTCTTTACCTTGGTTTTTGGTGTTGCTAATGATAACATGGCCACCTTTTAGTCCAACCAAAACAAAAAAAAAATGTCTATCTAAGACTTTTTTTTTTTTTTTTTTTCAATTGTCATTCCTATTTCTACTCCTACTCTAATTGGAGGAGACTCAACTGAGCCTACGGAAAACCGATGTAGATAGAACCACCATCCGACCAGACGGGTGCACTACGCACCCGTCTGGATTTAAAGCAGAACCACAAGAGTGGCATTCTAGTGAGCCTTAAGGACTCGGTGGTGGCCACCAGCCCAAGAGCTGGTGGTTTGTCTATCGAAGACTCGTTAAGGTATATTTGTGTCCATTATTCATTAGACACCTATTAAAAAAATTCAAAATATTTATTTTTGTCCTTTCTACATTATCATACAAGTGAAAATGTTCTGCCTGCCATGCACTTCGTAGTTCATACAAGGAAACAATACCTAGATTAATCCAATGTAAGACTTGTAAAATGATGCAATAATTAGTACCTAATGACCAATCAAGTTATTTTTAAGCAATAAAAGATATTTTCTTGGAGAGGGTACTGCAAGGAAATGGCATCTTACAGTAGGTAAAGAAATTTATAATTGTATTTTAGTTTTTCAATATGTTTTAGCGCTAGATTATATGTTCAGTCGTGATGGAAATGGGATAATGAAACTTATAAAACCATGGTAACTATGTCATGTATAGAAGTCAGGTCCGAGGATCACTAGAGTGGCATACAAATTAAACTTTAAACTTTAAGAATGTGCCTACACACTCTATTATTGTGAATCGAATAAAATTAGATCATGATTATAAAATATTTTTGTCAATAGTTAAAACATGTTAGTACTATTTTTGGGCATGTATTGGTTATACGTTTATAAAGATTAAAAAGAAAATGCTATATTATGTAAATAATGACTGGGGTTCCATATGAATTAAGTATTTTTAGAGGTATTTTTCAAATACTATATTGTAGTATTGTATATCAAAAACTTGACACTACTATATATTTTAGGGGATTTTTAAAATTTTAAAATTTTATTGGAATTATTTTAAAATTTTGTTAAAAAAATCTTACCACAACCATCCATCAAACCTCTTCTCCTCCCTCTATCACTGCTATCACCCCTTCCCATCCTCTCTTTTCCACCGCCATCATCCCTTCCCACCTCTCTTTTCTCTCTTCCTATTTATCTTCCCCCTCATTTTCCTTCTCTTTCTTTTCCCCACAACCCTTCCCTTGCCTCCACAATCTTCTAGTAGCCTACGACCAACTAGATCATAGGGAATTGGGAAAAGAGGAAGAAGGAGAGAGGAAGGGAGATAAGGGATAGAGGGGAGAGAAGGAGGGGGTGGTAATGGAGGGAGAAGGAGAGGAGGTGGTGGGTGATGATGGTAAGAATTATTTTATTTTTTTAATTCTTTAAATTTTTATTAGGTGTATTTCGAGTTTGGTATGCATGACTTTTTCTACTTACATACATACCTAAATACAAATATTTTAGGTTTAACTTAATATGACTTTTTTTTAAAACTTCAAAAACAAAAACAACCAAATCCAGGCAGACCCTACATGTATTAAGTTACAATTTGATGAGTGTAGTTTGTTATGCATGACTTCTTCTACTTACATACATATCTTTTAGGTTTAATTTAATATAATTTTTTTTAAAAAATCACATTTAACACAATTTTTGAATTTAACTAAAGTTGATTTATTGAAATCACATTTAAGAGAAAATCTAAATTTTAATTGGATGTAATTTTTTGAAAGTAAAATTTACAACAAAATCTTGATTTAATTGAATGTGATTTCTTGAAGGTCACATTCATAACAAATTCATAATTTTAACTAAACTTAATAATTTGAAAGTCATATTCAGTAAAATTTTTTAGACTTAACTTAATTTGATCTCTTAAAGTTATATTCAGTGCAAAATTTTGAATTTAATTTGAGTTGTTCAAAGTCACCTTTACAACAAAATCTTTATTTTAACTGAATGAAATTTCTTGAACATTCAGTACAAATTCATGAATTTTACTTAATTTGATACTTTAAAAATTACATCAAGTAAAGCCTTTTAGGTTCACTTTAATTTGATTTTTTAAGGTTGCTTTGATGTTATTAATTATTTTGTTTCGTCCTATCTTTTTTTTATCAAAGTTTTGTTCATAAAGGTTAATATACATATTTACTGAAAAAGCCAGCCTTGGTCTAATGACTGAGGTTAAGGCTGGAGAATGTAGAAAACCTAGGTTTTAATCCCCCCACTATCCCATCCTTCCCACTTCTTATCGTAGAGCTGTGGCCCGGTTGGCTTGGGTGGGACGGGACGGTGTCTGTATATGATTTGCTTTAGTCCAAGTTAAATAAATTATATCTAAGGGCAAACGTGTTTAAAATGAAACCTGTGAAGCCCCATGCACCAAAATTTTACAAGAAGGATGTGAAGTTTGGCATTGTTTCAGAGAATGAAACGACAGCGATATTGAAGAAGAAATATTTATCATCAATTCATGCATGTAAAATTATTCTATTTCTACGGAGTTGGATTTGCCAAGTTGACTTGTTGCTTGAGATTTGTCAAATTATCACAAGGGTTATAATTGCAGATCAACCAAATGACAAATAACCGACCATGCAAAGCAACTGCTCATTATTTGATAGATTTGAATTGTATCAAACAATGGGTAGACATAGAACTGATCAAAATAAGAAACTCTTTAATACATCAGAATCAGCTTAATGGGTTACCAAACATGCAGTGTTAATTTGCTCATCAACACATTGTGACATGATATTAATATCAAGTTTTTCTGTTTTCAAAAGTCTAAGTGAAGACTGCTTGTTATCATCCCATTTGAAATACCCAAAAAGAAAAATAGATAAATTATCAAAACTATGGCCGTCAGATAGGTGTTGCTTTTTTTGTAGATATACAAGCAACCACGAAAATATGATACCAAAAAAGATTGTTGTAAAATTCAAGGATTTTTAGCAAACTAAGTAGGGCTATGCAGCGTTTGTGTTCACAACTAAAAACAGCTTTTGTATAAGGGAAAGTCCGATTAGGTTTTTCACTGTTACTTGCTTGAAGGAAAAGGGAAGAACAAAAATTTTAAAGCAGCCCTTTTTTTATGTGATTAGACCACAAGAAAGGAGAAGGAAGGACAAAAGAAATGCAGTACAAGCAGAACGGTCTTTTGTGCAAATGTGAAAAAAGTGCTAAAAGGGTTGTCTCGATTCATAAGACTACTCGTCTCTAGTTAATAACAATGTGAAAGAATCACAAAATGCCGTCAAAATTATAAGTCCACATCATAACTTTAGGCTTAAAGTGGAGTATGTGGGTAGAGTTGAAGGTTCCTTCAACATGATTTTTACCTCATTTTAGCAAAACCTTGGCTACCGGCCTACAATTCGCTTCCGGAACGAGCGGATCCCTTAGTCTGCCTTTTCTTCGCCGGGAGCCCGCTCCACCGTTCACGATTTATGGAGTATGGTACGTCTCCACTCTCCAACAAGCCATGTCTTTGAGCACTTTGAATGGTAATGCGATGTAATCCAGCTTAGCCTCCATTTGACCCAAACCCCCCCCCCCTCCCCCTAAAAAAAAGTAATGCTTTGCTAAAAGAAAAAATCGATTTTGCAAAATCAATTTTTTCGTCCTTCACTTTTAAAATGTTAATTTTACGTCGCTTACGAATTAAGTTAGCAAAACTTGATTTCAATCTAAGTTTTTTTTTTATCACTTTTTACTCTGAGGTCATTACATGACCTACATGCAGTCGTATTTTATGCACAAAATGTCAGCTTCCACTTTTTCTATCGTAAAAATAGATATGAATTTAGTTTGATCCCACTTTTTTAATAGAAAAATGAATATGGTAGGGGTCAGATCCTACTTTTTTAGATATAAAAATAAAATATGGATTGAATCATTTGTTTAACTAGGAATATAATCCAATCTTTTTAGCTCTAAAAAATAATCACGTGCAGGTCATGTGATGGATTTAGAGTAAAAAAGTGATTGAAAATTTAGATCAGAACTTAATTTTGTCAATTTGATTTTACATGGGATCTAATGTTACTATTTTAAAAGTGAAGGAAGAAAAATTCGTTTAGGAAAATGTGATAGGCGTTTTGAACGATTTTTCCTTGCTAAAACTGCAGATGACAACAGAGCCCATGGCTCATTAATTTTGGTTTAATTAAGAGAGAGAGGGAGAGAGAGATTTTGCTGGAATTAGTCGAGGTTACTATAGAATACTAGTTACCAACAACAGGAGCGAAAAATTCCAGCAGAGGGTATCGGAGAGTTTCTTAGGTCTGGATTTTATGAACAATAATTATCATTTGGACCTTAATAAGAAAACATGAACATGACTTTTAGCTTTTAAGAATTATGTACCATACCATCCATCATTAATTAATTTTTTGCACTAGGTTGGTCCAATCCGCTAGCAACTACTCTCCTGTGTCAGTAGCCTGAACTGACATGCACCGAGATTAAGTCAACTAATAAGGCAGATGAGTTGAGCCAAAATTTATTAATTTGATGTTTAGTGAAAAAGACACCTGCTGCTAGACTGTAGAAGCAAGTAATAAGGCGCTTCAAAAGGTTATATAACTAATGTTAGTAGTTCAAGTGTTCGAGTAGTCAACAAAAG